GTAAGTAATTTTGATTTTAAGATTAAACATACTTTTATGCATCATAAAATTGTCTAATTTCACATGCAAAGTCTCTATAACCTCCTAATATCCTACAGATAATTATTAAATATTTTTTTTAGAAAAAACTTTATATTTTATCTGTTATTTTCACTTTTGTATCTCTGTATGGGTTTGGTCAAATCGACCGACCTCGTAACCACCATAAAAAATAGGAAGTAAGTATAAGTTATGTATTTGTCATTCTAGAATTACTAGAAATTATAACACCAAAACACAAATATTTAGTCTAAATTCAGTCTTTTACATATATAAAAAATACCTTTGTTATTTTATTGACCTTTAAGCAGTGTCTGACGAATGTTACAGAAGTTGAATGACATAGTGCATGTGTACTCATGCTACCATATCCAATAATATAAAACTGGTCTTTACAAAGTGACCTGTCTTTGCTGTTTTCTAGTGGACCAGTATTTTGTAAAATGCAGACACATTTCAGTTCTAATACATTATATATGTATATACATTATGACTATTTACAAATAAGTTCTAAAATTTCAGTTATTTTCTTAAAACATAGAACAGTAATTAAAGAAGTAAAGAAAACAATTATCTCATCTAGTTATGATCTTTGTACTAGTTTGTTGCTTACCATAATTTGCTAAGCATTATAAAATTTTGCACATGGAAAATGTAAAAGAAAAAGAAAATTTTAAGTTTTATATATGCATTTTAAAATAAAAAAATCATAAATTACTATATAAATTCCACAGAATTCCACTATAATTTATCAGGCTTACTAACTAATCTGTATTTGGGTCTAAAAAATATGATTTTTTAAGTTAAATAATGTCTTATTTTACCACTTGGTATCTACTATGAAAAGAAAGGGTTTCCCATGTAAATACTTCACAGACGCACAGAGAACCATACTTTGGTTACATTCTGAGTTTTTGATTGGTTATTCATACACCATAGAAGTAGGTGTACATGAGTATTTCCAAAAATGGAAAGAGGTGGGTAGGGCCACTGTGTTTGATTCACTAAATGTAGATGTAAATCGAAAAGATAGGACGTTGTTATCTTATATTCTAGGTGTCAATATCAGTAGTTTGAGCTCCTAATTCATAAGAAACTATAAACTTTGTATTTGGACATCATAAGTATGTAATCTGAACCAATGCTGCATTTAACATACCACATGACACACAAAAATCAATATTTAGGTGTGTTTTTAATATTTACTTTTAAATTATGAAATTAACTTTTGTATAATACTAAATTTTGAATTATAATCTACAATATGATACCAAACTTGTTGACATAAATTTATGAAATAGTTTTTCAGTAAAATTTTGAATATAAGTGTACAAACATGATGACATAGCCTTTGACCAGTGACCCTAGGAAGACTCGATAATTTGGACTTACTTAATATATTCATATGCTAATATTTTAGTTTATCACATATAACTTGTTTCTAATGCACTATGTTCTGTTTTGAAAGTGAATTCAACTTAAATGCAAGAATAAATGATACTTATTACTTATAATTAAATATGAAAAAACTATTCCATGTGAAACAGTAACATCATGTTAAATATATATTTATATGATTCTTAGTAGACTTGACCATATTGATTTATATACCTTGCTTTAGGGAATTATGAGGCAGTAGACATTTAGTCAGCAACTGCCTGGGGCTTCTTTTCACAAATGTTTTTTGCCTCAAATAAATATACACTGAAATCTTGAATTCGATTCCCCCTGCTGAACACAGTGCCAATAGCCAGCTCATTATTTAGCTTTGCATTTCAAGCAATTTACAATAAGGTCTCAGCACAGGCTCTATACTTTTGCCACTGATAGTAATGTTCTTGGGTTTTGCCAGTAATAGTAATGTTCTTGGGTTTAGGTATAAGAGTTTCAGTTTCTAATACACAGAATTTCTTATTGTTTCGTAATTATTTTCAGAAAAGTTTTCATAAATAGAGCTGGACAGTTAGTGGAATTTGATAATCGACTAATCATTGAGTTCATTAATCAATTACATTTAACTGATCAGTTATTCTCACGTGAAACTTGGATAGTCGGAATATTGAAAAATAATAATAATGGGAAACATTAATTTTGTTTAGTTGATTATTTTATGTGATAGTAATCCAAGTATTCAATGCTTGTAGGCATTTGAGTTAATCACTCATCTATAGTTATAAATGATGGAAAGTAATAACAATGTCTCCAGATGGGACAGTGGTTAGTCTATAGACTTAAATGCTAAAATCCAGGATTCAATTCCCTATGGTGGACACAGTAGATAGCCCACTGTGGCTTTACTCTAAAACAAGCAAACAATTCATAACAAAGTGTATTTAATACTGATACTGCAGTAACTGAACTTCCCAGGATTGGTTTAATAATGCAGTTAAGTCTACTAGCAATATTTTCCATTTTTATTTGGAGACAGTAACTACTGTAGGAGTATGGTTTTTTATTTAACAACTGTATAAGTGAACAGTAGTTTGCAATGTTCTATATTTGGCTTTGTAATTATTACATTATTTACAGTAAGTTAACATAACTCATAAACATATGTCTTCTTATATAAAACAATAATGAAAAGTTGTTGAAGGTGCCAATAAGCATTTATTTTTGAATAATTTATAAAAGCTCAGTTTTGGACATGTGAGCAACTAAACCTTAATAATACAAAAGTTTCTTTTTTTCTTATTGAGTTTAATTAGTTTCTTAGAATGTGTTTTCAGATTATTGAAATGTTTGTAAGGAACTATAAATACTATAAGTGTACCTTCTATTAATTTAATTAACCCTTCCCAAGTTGGAGGAGTGTCACTGATATTTCTTGATTTTTTTCCTTCTCATAATGGAAATACTTAACCAGATTGCATGAAATTTAGTTCAAACTTACTAAATAGTATTTAGTTTTGACTTTAAAAAATCTTTTATTTTGATTTATCTATTTTTCTATCATTTGTAACACTGATTCATAAAAAAAAAACATTAAAAATAATTGCATTTAGCAGATACATTACAAACATACAATTTAACAACATATTTACAACTGTACAACTTAACCATCTGGTATTGTTGATAAATTTATTAATAGATCAATTTATTAATCTACCTATAAAAGTAGAAAACAAACTTTTACTGCCGATATTATTAAAAACGTATTCAGTTTTTGCTTATGTAATAATTATATTCATTTTGATAAGCACATTTATAAACAAATAGTGGGTATACTGATGGAGGTCCAATTATCCAAGTTGTGTTGCTGATTTATATCTATTATTATCATGAAAATATATTTACAAATCTGGAATTATATTCCTTAAGATGTAGCTATATTGATGATTTAATTAGTATTAATAGACCAGTAATAAGTAATTATATTGGTGGCATTTATCCTGCAGTTCCACAAATTCAGAATGTCTCCGTATCAAATACTGAAGCACATTATTTAGATTTAGATATTAAAATAATTAATAATTATAGTAATATTAATATTTATAATACAAGAAATGATTTCGTATTTCCAATATATTGACTTCCCTCACTGCATCGTAATGTTCCAACAAATGCCATACATACATACATAATTTCTAAGATATGGTAAAATATGTAGCAATAGAGAATTATTAATATCCAATACGAATATATTTGTACAAAAGTTGATTTTTGATGGCTTTGATGAAAAAACCTTTACCAAATATTTTAAATTTATCTTAAAATAAATATAAAAAGTACTTATATAAGTGTGAAAATAGTGACATAATTAAAATTATAATATATACCATAAAAGATAATTTATAAAATTTATTGGTGGGAGGGGAAATAATTAGAAATGATTATTTGGACATTTTTATAGGTGGACTAATAAGATCTGCTGCTGTGCGGGTCTCTTTAGAACCATTGAAGATCCATATAGCAGCAAAGAAGGGTAGAGGATGGGAGCTATATTAATAGTAAAAGGTTGGGCTTAGTGTAGTAGTACCTTAACATCTTGGTATTTATGTCCAAACACCATACTGGTGACTGGAATGTCAACTTAAAAGACAGTTTAGCTGCATAGTATACTATACTGATGTATAGTACTTTTAATTATTAGCTTTCTTATTTTTTTATTATTATTTTTGTGAACAACCACATTCCCCTGGCTGCCAATAGCAAAAGGTGGTAAAGATCTGGGATTTTACAGGTTTTTAGCCCCTTTTCCCTTTTTTTTAAGCATGTGAGGTTGGCAAAACTGAGATTAAATTATATAGACAGTGAACCCCCAATACAAAAAAACCAGGGCACATTAAATAATGACCCACTCCGTGATTTATGCCCCAGTGTTGGATATTTGTTTTCTGGCTGTCTTTTTTATTTTTGCAAAAATAATTTATCATTCATTTATTTTTCCTTCTCTACAAAACTAATTGTCGGACTAGATATTGTGGCAGGGCTGGGCTCAACAGCACTAATTTGTTAACATTATTTTATTTTAAATATCTTACCAGGAAAAATTTATACATCTTTTAAATTAATGTCAAATTTTTGTTTCTTTTTTCTTATGTAAAGAAATTTTAGGGAGTTTGTTTTATTTTATGTAATCAATAAAAAAAGCCTTTTAGAGTAAAAAATCAAACAATAGTATATACATGTGTTCTTATTTAAAACAATTTCAAAGTGAACTTTCTTTTCACAAAAAACACTTTGTCAGTCAGCTGAATGTAATACACGACAATATTCTTTATTATAAATTATTTTGCCTCAAAAGTCCTTACCTGATCATCTACCTTTATAGGAGAATATCACAATTATTTCTACATTTTAGATCCTAATATGGGTTCTATATAAGATATACTATTAACTTTAGTGCAATGTTTTTTCACTGTTGTACATGTGCATCTTCAGTAAATGTTAGACTTTTATTAGGCTTATTTTTTATAAGAACCATTGGATACACACACACACATTTATCCATTTAATTTCGGAATAATGTTTATTTTTATTAATTCCTTTGGTATTAATTGTTTCTTTCTTTCTTTTCATTTTTCCCATCTTAAAGAAAATAGTAAGAATTTCCCCATCAGACCCAAGAGTTCTTGAGCTTGTTGATATGTTAGAACCCAGAGGTTTGTATACTCATTTTATTATTGGTGTTAATTTCTAGAATGTCTACAAAAGGTGGCTATGATGTTTCTGGAGTTTTTTAAATGATAAAGCAGAGTTCTTAAACTCATTTTCCTAAAGATATTGATATATTCAAATACAGATAATTGGTTCAAATATTAAAACAGGATAGATACAAATACATGGAACAAAAAGGTATATTTATAATTGCTCATACATATGTAGGAAATACAATGTTCTTACAGCAGATATTGTATGCATTATGATTACTTATAAACTTATTAAATATTACACAGAGATTCAGTCAATTTAAATTATGAATAATAACAATTAAATTTTGTTTTTTATTCTTTGTAAAATTTAATTTTAATAAAATTTTGTTTTCAAGCTTTGAAAACCAAGAGTAAAAGGTAACAATTAAAATCTGATACCTTGTTGACTAAAATGTTAAGGTATGTTAAGCAGCATTTTCAGCTCAAGATTCAATTTCACAACTATTTTCTACTGCACGAATTCTGCCATCCATGGAAGTTTCATGTCAAGTAAAACATTTGTTCATATTATGTAAATAGCACAATCATAGCATATGATTTAATGTAAATCATCACATTTCAAACACAGTATCACCTTCTGACAAAAAAACAAAATGTGCAAAAATGGATTTAGTAGCAGTGTTCAGGGATGTAAGAAAGGAATTTGGTTAATACTGAGGTTCCTGTATATACCTTGCTTTTGCTAACCTTATCTTCAATATCATCTCTACCTGAAATAGGCTAATCTGACAAACACTTCATTCTAGTGCTTCCACAAGTTTATGACTGGCATAAAACCAAAAAACATGGTAATGTCAGTCATTTACGATAATGAATGTACCCCACTCTGAACAGATGAAGACCAGTGCAAGGTCTTCATATGCAGATACATTAACTTATGTGATATGCAGGAGAGGCTCAGGCTGAGTAATCTGTATCTGAGCTACAAATACATGTGGATATGGAAACCACCCTTAGCTTGAAAGAGATACATGGAGCCATGAATACATCTAAATATGAATCTACAGTTCCAGATGGTATAAGAATTTCCACCTTTAAGAAGCTTACAGAAGTCAACCTGTTGAAGTTAGTGTTGGAATGTCAGTCTACCTGAGCAATAGGTAGGAATTTTGAAATATGGACTGATGCTTTTATTGGAATCTTTTCTAAACCCTTGAAAGATCTCTCTCATTTTAAAAATCATCAAATCATCACCATTCAAAATATCAATGGCAAGATCTCAGAGAAGGATTGACTGTCAGATTGAACCACTACTACCTTCATCATTAGGCAGTTATTGCAATGGAAGAAAATCCATAGTTGATAGAAGGAAGGCTTTGAAACTGGTCAGAACATTTTGGCAGTAGTTTTGGATGTTAGGATACCTTCTGTATTCCAGTTACTCTTTTATGTTGATAAAATGCTCAAAATAGTCATCATTGTAATGTATAAGATGATACATTACAAAGCATGGAGGTTGGCAATCAAAGTGAATCATCATCAGTGCTGATCTGCCTCAAGGATTACCATTTATCAGTCCTCTTCAGCATCTAAACCATGAATCTAGCCCACCTTGGCAGTCCAACCAGGTGCCATGTTCTAATATTTGGTGGTGACATTTTGGGGCACAGAAGAGGCTCTAGCAAAGCTGAAATTGAAAGCAAAATTTAATCATTAGCAAGATGAGCAAATGGTGTAATGACACAGGAATGGTCATCAATTCTACCATTGCCATGTTCTGAATGCTGATAAAAACAAAGCATTACTATCCTTTGTGATCACTGATATCCCTCTGGAGAAAAACATTGAATACCTTTAACAGAGAACTCCAGTTTATCAACTACATTAACATCAGGATAAGCAGAGCGTTTTTTTGGAAAATTGCAGCAGGAAGTAGAGCTAAAGAACAGCACTTGCTTATGTTCTACAAAAGTCTTATCCACTCAGTCCTGGCTTACTCCCTATTGAAAACCAGCAGTGCTACCCAACTAAATAAGATTGCAAAGATACAAGATATCTCTTTAAGACTGGTCATGGGATGTACTTCAGCCACCCCTAAGGCCTGTTACATCTCACACGTCTCAGCAGCATCGCAAAACACCAGCAGCACTTTCAAGCCAATTTCTTCACTAGGCTTTTGCAGTATAAAGACCATGCATTTCATCATCAAGCTTCTACTCTTGTTTATTGGGATATTCCAAATTCACAATGATCCTGTACACACCAACCAAGCAGAGGTTTGCCTAAAAGGCATCTCTTGAGACATTCATGAGTAAATAGGTACTATGCAGCCACCATAGAGATAATACATCACCTTCAGATCTCAGATGTCTTCATATGGAATGAACATCTGGTGCTTCTGGGGTCTGTGGAAATCATCCTAAACAAAAAAAAATGTAGAGATTGGGCAGAGGGTGAAGCAGAAAAAACCTATGAGTGCCTATTAAAAGACTATGGTGGACAGTCACATTTCATCATAGCTACAGATAGTTCCTAAACCAAAGACAGTGAGGGAAAACTTGTTGGGCATTCAGCATTTTGCAGATCAATGATATTCTGCATAAAGCTGGTGGAGCATTAATTCTTCCCACAAGCAGCATAAGGATAAAGCAAGCTTTTCTCTGGATTGTTGACCCCAACAAACTAAGTAGACAGTGCCACCAACATATTATTTGTGACTGACTCACAAGCATTACTGCATAAAATTCAGAATGTTTTGGTTCCCAAAGGGATGGTACAAAGCAAAGCAGCTGCACGGTAAGACCATCACCTGAATGTATGTGACAGGCCATGTAGGGGTAAAGCTAAATAAGGGAACTGACAATCTCACAAGTGAAGCCCCTTTATCAAATCCAACACAACTCTACTGGCAGGATAGTGATCACATTTGTGTTAATAAACTGAAAGAAACAAACATGGAAAGTCTTCACCAACATCCAGATTGAATGGGCCTTCTGAAAAACAAGGTAACATATGGAGTAGCTAAGAAAAGCAAAAATGTGGGATCACTAGAACAGTATACAGTCAGGAGACCACAGGTAACATCAGTAAAGGAACTCTTTTTCTACTTCCTGTAAGGCAGCCATTCTCCACATGGGGGAGGGGATGAGCACTTTTTGGCTCAACTCCTCAGACTGTCACCTGATACTAAACTCATATATATATATAGAAGCTTCTTAACTAAAACTGAAGACAGAATAAGCATAGCAAAAAACTCCTTGGAAATAAATTCCTTTTAAACCTGTTAGCATGGACATATTTAATGGAATATGTTAAGGCTGTATGATTACTCAGTTAGGTGTAACACTTATATTGGTATGAAGCCTGTTAAACCTAAAAACTAGATTTTGAAACTTACAGCAACAGGTAATATCAGTAGTAATAAAGAAGAATTGTATAATTATACCTTTCATCAAAGTGTGATTTCATAGTTGAATGTAATTTACAATTGGTGTTGTATAACTGGACCTGTTATTATTTTTGAGTGTCCAGAAATCACTGTGCACATACTAGGTTATCTCTACAGTAAACATTGGTTGAAATATTTTAATAAAATAGTACAGGTACACCACCGATTTTCTGGCACCCTTGGTTCCAGAGCCTTGCCGGATCAACAGAGGTCATGTAAGAATAATTTAACAATACACCTCTGACTCACTAATTATACCCCTTCCGTGTCTCTGAAGCACCATGGACTGCTAGAAACTTATATAAAACAAATATTAAATGTGAATTAAATGGTTAATGAAATACATTAGTAAAGGTATAAATGATACAGATTTATTAGTACAGTATAAATGAAAAAAGTTTATTAATTACTGTACTTACAATATTATCATCATTTTGTGTTGTAAAAAATTAAATATTTGCATCTTGTTAAACTACATATTCTTAGCAACATTCATGAAAAAATTCAAGCAATTTGATCTACTAGTTTAATATTTATAAGAAAATTTTCACAAGAGTGAAATGTAAGTAGCCCATCCTAAGAGAGCGTGTGCCACATGCAATGCCATTTGTGGCCGCCCAGTAAACTAGTTTGGCAGTTGCGGGAATTAATTTTGTAATTCTGTCTGGATTAAAGGAGGTGCCGGACCATCAATTGCCAGAAAATCGGTGGTGTACTGTATAGTGTATTGTCTCAGCTTTTAAAAGATTTGTAATTACAAAAACAAATGTTTTTTTTTCAACCAGTGTGTATATTCAGTTATATTAGTTTCACACTGATAATGTGCCAGAACATTTTAGTTTGTATTAAAACTTTTTAGTCATAACCATGATGACCTACTTTTTTTTTCTCACTAGCAGCAATACAATTATTCATAGATCAGAAATGATAAAAATATGGCTGGTTTTGAAATTACTGCAATATTTTACACACTGGCTCACCAATTTATTAGGGACTATAGCTATTAACAGGTTTGGCCACATTTTTTCCCAAGTAACAGCCATGATACAACATAGTATCCACAATGTGCTGGAAATTGTCCTGAGAGTTTTTCTTCATTCAATCATTAATATTGTATGCAAATCATGGAGCAAGGTAGAAGGGTTCCCACATGTCCTGGCAAGCCTGAACATTTTAATTTCCAATCTTAAAAAGTCAAGGAAAATGGAGAAAATCATAAATGTTCTGGAAAGTCATGAAAAAAAATGAAATGCATTATCTAATTTAATAATAATCATTTCATTGAACAACTAACTTAATTAAAGTGTTTTAATTAGATAAATTAAAAAACTACAAAGGTGTAAGGTTGTGGTAGTTATAAGGTGTGATGCTGGGTAGGCTGAGGATAGTGATGGGGAATGTGTCTTTCAAGTTCATCTCGTAGATGCTCAATTGGATTGAGAGCTTGGGATGTTCATGGAAGATGTTCAGTATCCATCATGTTTCTTAATATATGTCACACACAATTTTGGCATTGTAGTCTGAGAAATAGCTGTCATTGTCTGTACACTTAAAGTATTGCTGGATGCACTTGATCAGAAATGATGCTGAGGTTAGTTTTAGCATTCATTCTGCACTCAGGTCAGGCCCAACAAGTCTGAAATGGTACATAGCTCCTAATAAAGTGGCTAGCCAATGTATATTCCAAGTTAAAAAAGAATGTTAAGTTAGCAAAGTTAATTGTTTTTCTATCTTGGATGTTTCTGTTGAGAAATTTCCAAGTAGAAGTACAAGAACTGTGCATTGAATCTAATTTGTGGGCAGTGAGTAAATGAGGTAATTTTTGAATTTTTGTTCTGAAACTTTTAACAGAAAATGGAATTGAAAAGTGTATACGATTGCTGTTTACCTATGTAGACCAGTATCCCAATAAAACAAGTCTTAAGGCATGGGAAAAGTTAGCTTCTCTTATAGCTGATGTTTACAAAAGGTCAGTTTTAATACAATTTTATCTTTCTTTTAAGTCATTTGATTGTTTTCAAAATTTATTGTATTTTAATTGAAAGATTTACTGATATGATTTTGTTTTTAAAAAGAAAATAATTTGTGTATTATATTTGGCCTGTTCAAACACAACTGCTATAACAATGTTTCATATTGTAAAACACAACATTATTTTTTTGTTAGCAAAATATAAAATATTTCTTCTGGTTATGATTTTCACACATATACAGTACAAGCTGAATGCCTAGTCACATGATGGGAAATAATATTTAATTTTTCTTTTCAAAATTATATCTAAATAAATGTTTTATGAACATATTTTCTCATAATTAATTATAATCAAGTAACAATATATGTATGGAGAGTTAATGTCCTATTTTTAGTATTTCATGAAAACCACATTTTTATGTATATTTGGTCATCTCCTTTAAGTATTGCTTGATTTGCATTTTGACTTCTGTATATTTATATGTCCAAATTTTGTTCTTGATAAATCTTCATATATTGAAATGTGCAAAAAACTGATTCTCAAAGACATATTCCTACTTGGTCAAATGTATGACTCTGCAAATTATTAATTGTGATGGTAAAGGCAGTGAATTTTATTATGAATATTGGGGTCTTCTCTTTGGACTGTCTTCCTGGTTTTAGCTTTGTTATCCTGAAAAAGCTTGCTTTAATTTGTGCATTTTAAAAATTGAAATGTGCTGCGGGTAAAACATGTAGGTTATTATAGAGTTGTAGCCAAGGGTTCTGATTGGACAGAATCTGGTGATGTCTCTTTAACAACGAAGTAAATATAATGGCAAATTTCAGCCAATGATTATGATTTTTGTATTTCAGCAATACCAACCTTGGGAGGCACATATACCCAATTTTATTTTATTACTCATCATTTATCTTACCAACCTACACTCAAATCTAATTTATAAGCATAAAGAAGTGCATCGTCTATTTTATCTATATATAGCTGGAAGAATTTAAAAAAGACAAACTTGCTTCTCATGGTAAAAAAGCATCATCAGCATTTTGTGTCAGTTGGTACTGCAACAGCCAAGATATCGGCGTGACAGACATACGGCTTTTTGTTGTTATATAGTTGATAAATATTTATTCTCTCAGTTTGAGAAAAAAAATTGCTGTATTCTATGAGAAGCTGAAGTTGCCATAGCTTGCGACCATATAAAAGAAAATATATTTATAATAAATAGAATATGAGAATGTCATAATAATTTAGGGACCATTAATTATATGTTGCATCCCTTCGTATTATAATTATAGAACATTTTTTAAATAAAAACTTTTTATTTATTTTATGAACAAATAAGAGAATTTGGTTAAAGTGTTGTAACTGTTTCTTTATTTTGTAGATTATTTTTAAATGCATTAGCTGTACATCATATTTTGATAACCTTGAAATTTTTGTTTTTGTGAAACAGTTTTGGTTTCTTTAAAATAATTACTCATGTTTTTGTGTTAATATACTAACTCATATTGTTCCTTTTTATACCAAGGCCAACACAGTCAAAGTTAAACCTTTTAAGAAGATCTTGGAAGAGTAGGTCTTCCTACTGGCCAGCATATCATTTCAGTTCTAGCTCTCTCCACTTGGAGAAGAAAAATGGCATAAAACTGGCTTTGAACAAAGCTAAAGTACTTGCTTTTGTGACAACAGAACAAACAAGTATGTTTCAGTTTTTGATTTTTGGTCATTGTTTTTAATCAGAAATACCATAAGCTTCAGATCTTGTGTAAAGATAGCCAACTCTTATTACTAGTATATAATATTCAGGCCTTCACATTTGACAGGTGCCATCTCACTGATGCTTGTAAGTTCCCATAAGATGGGTTTTGGTTATTAGATTCCCCATCAAGTCTGTCTTGATGCTTGCTGATCAAACGATCAACTGTTTTTTACACAGTAAAAGCTCGCAGATAACTTCATGTGACCTTGTTAGCCGATGTGCTCTGGTACTTTAATTTTAATTGGTCTAGAGTAGCAATGTTTTTGAACTATATTGTTGTATTATGTAGACATCTGATATTTGTAACTAAGAAATTAAGTCAATGTGTTAAAGTTTAAATTACAAAACTCAGAATAGTAAAGGAGTTTTAACAAATTTTATCGTGACCTAACTTCCTTTTTGATGAACTACTTGCAAGTGCTGTCATAGTGATTGGAGATCATACATTGTTCAGTTCTGGTTTCACTTTCAATTGTAAACATGTCTCAGTTTAGCCAGTGAGACTGTTTTGTTTTCAACTTTCTTCAAATGGAATCTTGGTGGACAAATTTGATTTTTGTCTTCAAAGAACACCTTTGGAAGAAGCATTGTAACAAAAATTTGATACAAGCTTTGTGCTAAATACAGTGAGAATATCATAAAAGAAGTAGGGGTGCAGTCAGCAAGATGTAGACAAGTATATATACTGCAATGAATACATAAGGAAGTACTCGGCCATTCACCATTTGAATTCAAGAACATACCAAATTTCTTTAAGTATGTATATATCTTATTTCATTTTTGTACTCTTTACTGAAATTTATAATGATATCCCTTCATTGTTTGTCATTACGCACATAGCCTGTATGACTAAATACCTATATTTTACAGTCATTATATTATAATATCACCTTTGAGTCAAAGGTAAACCCAAATATTGCCTGTATATATTTTTGTTTGTATGCAAATTGCAAACATCTTCATAAGCAGAGGAAAAACAGTTGTTCCCAAAATATTTGTTAATGTGTTAGACACATTTGGCAATTTAATGAGACTTATTTTACATCAAAATTATCTTTGACTTTATATGCATTTATAAGTTATTAGCCAAGGCCTAACTTGTTGATATGCAATTTAACTGACTTTCAAGTGACTTGGGAACTTTAGATCTAGTTATTTGTTAACTTTGTGTCAATTGAGCATATATTAAGGTAATTAGAGGACATATTTTGTGGCCTCTATTATTTAAGCATGAATTTAAATGTAATTGTTTTTATCTTAGATACAATATTATCTGTTCGTTACTTTGTTTATAAACTGGTAGGCCTATACATATGTTGTTTTTGATAAATGTCTGTTATCAGTCACTAGGATTATATTTTACATAAATTCTACTGTCCATTTATTTCATTAATACAAGCTTTGCTGTTTTATTACAGTGTATGTTCAGTATGTACATCTATACACATGTACTTTTATAGAATTAAAAAGTTGCTTGAAGATGATTAGAACACTCTTCCTGGCATCAGTGGTCCTGGTATTGGTGGTTCTTCTGCTTTCCACATCTCTTTTCAACCTGAGATAAATGTAGCTCTGTATGCTCAAACTAAAGGGACATACAGGAAGTTTCTTAAAACAGCTTGTATGTTGTAAATGGACAGCCTCTTTTGGCATTCAAAACTGTATTTAAAGTGCCAAAACAAAATTAAGTACAACTGACTTAAAGTTTTGATAATGGCAATACAGCAAAAGAATTTATTAATGTTATTGCAGGAACCATTTGTGAGAAAGTAGTAGTTATTTTATTTTCAGTTTTTATAGTTCTTAGTGATGAAAGTGGCAAAAAAACTGGCTCTGAAAAAAGAACTAACTTCATTAGAACAATCAAGCAAGGTATACCAGTTTATTTTTCTTGCCTTACATTGATAACTTTGGTGATGCCGATATCTAAAGAGTAGCATTGATGATGTATTCAAAGGTGATGGAAAGGTTTCAATTCCAGCAAAAAAGTATGCTTACCTAGAGTTTACAATGGATTGCTAACAAAACTGAAAAATGACAATCACCTTTGGCTTCTAGGCATTCACTGCATTTCCCATTGAGAAATAGTGTATTTAAATCATTTGCTAATGTGAAAGACCTCATGAAAACTATATATTACTTATTCAAACAATCTGGAAAGTTCAAAAGGCACATTGAGACAACTGCCAGTTCATTTGGTGTGCACACAAGATGGGGAGTAAATCATTTACTGAGTAACTAGTTAATTCTTGCTGGAGCAATAGAGAATTCCCTTTCCAGTTGTAAGGAGAGAGTAGCATCAGCTAAATTTCATGGACTTTTAAAAAAGATGAAAGACTTAACTTTTCTGACAAAATGTTGCTTGTACAAAGATGTGCTGGATGCATGTTCTATTCTGTCTATGCAGTTTGAAAAACACAATATTTTATGCTATCAGATACTGCCTATGGTAGAAAAAGCAAAGGATGCTTTACAGGAACTTGAGGAAGAAACTTCAGGTACACAATGTGAAAATATTTTGAAAAAGTTCAAACTTGAACTGGAAATAACACCAGATTCCTGGTATCTTAAGAGCACTTTGCTTAAAGCAGAGTGTCAGAAAAAGAAAACAAGGAATACACTACTGTCAGTGTCAACTACTATTTAATGAACAATATAAACTGTGCTAATAAAACTGTAGACAAACGGAGAATTACAATCACTCCAAGTGTACAGTCTTGTCTTGAATCAAGATTCTCCTCATATGAGAGTGAACTTTATCAAAGTGTGTTTTGGATGGATCCAGCACCCTGATGTAACACCACCAGGGAAATTGAGTGTTTAAATGTACTTGCAGAGCATTTTTTTGTTAAGTGTTACTTGAATGGAGTCAAAACTAAGTCTCTCTGGTAGTGTATGCTTCTCTCCAGAAGGAAATATTTAATAATGTTTGTATGCTGGTGGAAATATTGCTCTGCATAGGGCCCAGTAATAGTGTCATTGAGGCAGGGTTTAGTCACCTTACCCATATGCCCACTAACCAAAAGCATAGTTTAAAACATGCAACAGTGGAGAACCTTTTATTGATTAAAACAAATGATTTGTTTTGTCCATGTGTAAAAGGAACAAATATTAGATGCACTTTGGAGAAGTTTATGGCAAAAAGGAGGAAAAAAGAAATTTGATACAAATCCTTCTGACATGTATATGGAATGTGCAGCCAAGAAATGGAAGTCAGACATATACGATGAAATTGATTGAGTTGAGAATGAAGATTTAAGTGATTATGGAGATCATGATGAGGATGATTCTGATTCTAGTATGTCTAGTAGATAAAGTGATTAGGCTGAAACGGATGAGATTCTTTTTCAAGAACTGATTGCACAGGAATAATTTGATGTTGACACTGCTGATGGAGATGATTCTCCAGTACAGTGTGTATGTGAGGATAGTGATTGAATATGCTCTACTAGATTCTATTTGAATCTATAATATATTTATTATTTAAACCATTTGAAGCTATGTACTGTCAGTTTTGATTTTAGTGAACGCTCCTGAAGAAGCTGTAAAGTGTAACATTGTGTGTTTAATTAAATAAAAACAACATTTTGGTGTTATAAAGGCATTTATTTTTAGTATAACTATAAATATGGCATGAGATCACTAATAGCTTACTGTACTGTTTGGCAGAGACCCTCATGCATTTTTCAAATGTCAGGGCCTGAACATTAAAGTTGTTTTGATTATAAGTAGTAGATGAATCATCCTGATTTATATGAAATAAGAGAATTAGGAAGAGATTTTATTTTGCATTCCATTTCAGGTTTTTTGAAATAATTTAAAAAAACTGCTATTGTGAACAGTAAAACCAAAATGCATATGTTTCTTTACTGCTATGTTTTCACAGAAAGTATATGTAACTAGTGTACAAATAGCTAAGAAACTTTAGTGTAATACTTTACTTAATAATGTGTTTATAATGATTAATATTAAACACTTGAATAGGTGAAAGAAATCATTTATCTCTTCAGTTTATACATCTTTCTTAGGTTGTGTTTAACCTCAACTGACATTAACTGTAGTTGTTCAATAAAGTACACATTTGTAAGGAAGGTTTCAATAGAGTTGATCCATAGGTCTTCATGATAACATTTTGATATTCTAATGTAAGATCTTCATCACATTCAACGAGCATCAGATGAATGAATGAATGAAGTTCCTTAAGTCTTTCAGACGAATTATAATCCTCCTTTAAACCATCTTTTTCTTTTGGTATGAATTGCATAAATTATTATAACAAACTTTAATTGCCACTAAAGGGCAAGATATAAACATTGGTTTTGAAAGGATAACATTAAAAACATTCAAAATTGTACTTGTGTAATTTGTTAGTTTGGTATCTTTAATTTCTACAGATGATTTATTAAAAATTAATCTAATAAGAAAAACAAAAAGTACAAAAAGCAAAACTAGGACAAAACTTTACCACTTCCTTACTGTTTTTCACCCTGCATCAAACTTGAACATTATTGTATGGTTTATTTGACTAAAAATAAATAGTATATACTGTTTTCTTGTGATACATGTAATTTTTTATATTTTCTGAACTAGCATTCTTTGAATTACTGGAAACTGAGTTTCGAAAACAAAACAAGTCTCATCGTCTTGAACAGCTGCAAAAGATTATATCCAGTGCTAAAGATATCCAGTGGTATATCACAGACAGTTCATCTCAACAGAGCATATTCCAAGACTTGGATAAAAATGGTGATGACTTTGAAAATGAGATCGAAAACAGTAGTGAAGTAGGGAACCCTGATAATGATCATGCCAATCAGAAAATTTCAGATCAGGAGAAAAATAATCCCTCAGAAGATACAATAGGCCAAGAAAATAGTGAACAGGTAAATAAGGAAAAAGTGAAACGAAAAAGAAAAAAGGAAAGTAAAATAATAAAACAAAACAAATCTCATAGTCTGAAGCAGCTACAAAACAATACATCCAGTGTCAGAGACAGTTCATTTCAACAAAGCACATTCCAAGATTTAGATAAAAATGAGGAGATTGAAGACAGTAACGAAGCAGAGAATCCTGATAAATATAATGCCAATCAGGAAATTTCAGATCAGGAAAAAAATAATCCCTTGGAAGATACAATAGGCCAAGAAATTCAAGAAAATAGTGATCACGTAAATAAGAAAAAAGTGAAACGAAAAAGAAAAGAGGAAAGTAAAATAACAAAACAAAACACATCTCATAGTCTGAAGCAGTTACAAAACAATACGTCCAGTGTCAGAGACAGTTCATTTCAACAAAGCACATTCCAAGATTTAGATAAAAATGAGACTGAAAACAGTAACAAAGCAGAGAATCCTGATATATATAATGCCAGTCAGAAAATTTCAGATCAGGAAAAAAATAATCCCTGTGGAGATATGATAGATAGTTGCACTTTATCAGGGCATAAAATTCAAGAAAACAGTGATCAGTTAAGTAAGGAAAATATTAGTGAAGCAGAGAACCCCGATAATGATTATACCGAGAAGAAAAAATCAAATAAAAAAAATAATAATCCCTGTGGAGATATGATAGATAGTTGTACTTTAACATGGGATGAAATAAAAGAAAAGAATGATCAGTTAAATACGGAAAATTCAAAACGAAAAAGAAAAAGGGTAAAAGAAATGAAACTATGTGAAAGCTCGTCAGCAATGGCTGAAGAACTTAGTAACAATGAAGAGTTTGAAAAGTGTCAAGTTCCTGAACTTGAAAATAGTTACATTACTAAACAAAATAAGAAGAAAAAGCACAGAAGAGAGTAAAGAAAAAATTGTGACCACAGTACTAGTAAAAACAAATAAATGAAACCACTGAGATAAAATATGTCAAAGAATAATCCTGGATTTAAATGTGAAACAATTTTTTTTTCTTTCGAAAAACTTGTGTTTAAACAGGTATGAAATTAATTAACGTATGTGACTTCTTTTGAAGTTAATGGAATAAGTCCAACATTATGTCAGCAAACTGTACGCTTTATACATTACCAGTTGTGCTTATGGGTTGAACAATATTGTACAGAAAAGTGCAAAATAAATATTGTTAAAAACTGTATAACAAAAAGTACTTTTGCTCTCATTTTCCAAAATTCAGATATAATTTTGTAATTTCATTGGTTTTATCAGTATTTGTATTTTCTCAATTTATGAAAATGATAGGTTCAGGAGTTGCATCTTAACACACAATTTTATAAAATTCCTGTTAAGTTGCTGTATTTTAAGCTTAAAAGTATTGTATTAAATATAATAAACTTTATTTACATTATAAACTCTGCTAATAAGAGTTTTATGAATTTATGACAATAAGTACATTTAGCCAGTTTGTTATTATACACGGTGGTGCAAATGTTGTACCCCATAGAGATTGTGAATAACAATAAAACAAAAATACTTTTTTGTTTATTAAAGTAAATGTTCTGCTAGCCAGCAATTCAAATGTTTACTTTAATAAACAGAAAAGTAATTACTTTTGTTTCATTGTTATTCACAATCGCTATGGGTAGATCCTGTAGATGTAGTTAGTTACTTTTGATCAGATATTCCTATAAAATATATTTTAAACATGTTTAGAAAAGCTAGGACATGAGCTTTTATTTTCTGCCTACATTTGAAAAGATATCTTAAGTAGAACAAAATATATTTTTTCAGTGTGTTAATTCATATTTGTCTAGGTATGAAAATTAACACAAAAACGAACATACACATGTATGTAGGACATTTGAACTTATGCCACTTAATTGTTTCTCGTATGAAGAAAATGACAATTTCTTTAAATTTTTATCAAGAACATTGGCCTACTCGATGTTATTTTTTTACATATGAAAATACTTTAAATAGGTGTGTTATAATAAAAAATTTCATGTAATTCCTAATGTATCAGAACATTCTAAAGCATGTATTTAATATAATTGTATATCGTTATCATACAGTAGCATTGTGAAATGATTTAGGTATAAGAAAGGTTATGTATACACTGTTGATGTCTAGTTAACCATAAGTTCTTTTAAAAACATCATTTGCTTTAAATCACCTTATTACACCTATACACACACACACACACACACTGTATTATATATCAGTATTAAAAAAAAAGTTTTTAGTTATCTGTAGAGGTTTGAAACATTTTGAAAAGATGCCAATTTGTATTATAGGTAGTAACCAACAAAAAATGTTAGTACTCTTTGAAACTTTTTTTTGAAATAAATTTATCAAAAATCAGTGTTCATAATATTTTATATAGAAAGGTTGTGTATTCAAAATCAGAATGTTAATTTCATACCTTAATCGCATATTGCCCCTCAGTGGTAAATCAAAAGGCTTATTAATGCTAAAAACCGGGTATCAATATCAATGATAGGCACAGCACATATAGCCAGTTGTGTAACAACAAAGAAATCATTATTATATGTTAAATTAAGGTATTTATCCAATTATCACCTGTTGGTTTTAGTGAAAGTTAAGTAACATTACTTGTTTTATGGTAGATTTTAAAATAAATTGTATGGGTTCTGTAGTTAACTTTAATGAGTAGTGGCTTCATTAGAGAATCCACACAGTTTTTGTTTTATAAATGTTAATGTGTAGTGGCTTCATAAAACAACTCAGCCCTCCTGAAATATTTCACCAGCATCAGGTAATTAGTACTTGCTTCTAATCAAAGCAAACTGTTTAGAGTGCAACTAAAATTGAACCTGGTGTTTGTAATGATTATAGTTAATTAAATATACTTATGTTCTTACATGTGAAAAAGATACGTTTGAAAGTCCTTAATATTGCCTTTCTGGATGTCAATCAATATCAAAATTAAGTCTATGTGTATGAAAAATGTATATCTAAAGTCAAAGCTGAATTAAACTACTGTTAATTAAATTACTGTTAACATACTTCATTTAAATAACCAGTTCTGCTCTAAGTTGTAAAGATACATTTACAATATGAAGTGAAAAAATAACAGATGTGTCCATTCAATGATATTTTGATCTTTGACTAAAAACAGTTTTATTAAGTACTATATACAACACTGGATTTAGAAGAAACAAACTAATTAAGTATATTGTACAAATAATTCAACCACTTTAGTCCTATAGTAAATAACATTCACCCAATATCATCTACAGTATGGCCTGTTACTGTAAATAATGGATAACCCTGTACCAAGATTGAAGAGAAAGTTGTCAGCTATATATACTGTAATTTGGGGTTACTTGAGAAAACACTATAGCCTACAGCAGTTGACAATATATTGGTGGTGTTATGAAAGCTTACTAGAGACTGCTTTGTTACAGGTAAAATTAATATTTCCGTTGAACTATTTCAGTATATAGTGATGTCAATAGCTCAATATTTTTAGAATTATGAAAACTAGAACTATGTTTACAAATTTAAATAAAACATCTGGTAATTTGAACAGTGGGGCTCTGTGATTATGTAACCTTTCCACTTTTCTTGTGATGCTTCTAAATAGCTAGTGACAGTTTTTTGCATTAATTTTTAAAATTATTTGCATAGTGGCCAGCTGTACGAAAACTGACTGATGATATGGTAACATAAGCTACTACCAGTGGATTATGTGTGAGTAGTGTGTTGTGTAAGTTTACTGAAGACTCCTTTGTTATAGATAAAAGTCAATTTTGTAGTTGACAGTTTTAATGCATAGCTTATGCATAGGAACTGGATGGGGCAGAAGTGTGTTTCAGTTAATAATTCAAGAGCTACGCTACTACTGCTTTTTTCAAAATTACTAAAAATATGCCAGTGAAATACATCAGATAAGCTTTAAACTTGCTTATAATGCAGGAGCTTAAGTGCTTTTGCCATAAGACCCCCTATATCCATAACCCTTGTAGCCCCCAGATAAACTTTGCCTCTGTATAGTTTTGGTGATAGTTTATACTTGTTTGTTTTGAATTTCGCACAAAACTACATGAGAACTATCTACACAAGCCGTCCCTAATTTAGCAGTGTTTGTTATGAATTTCGCACAAAGCTACACGAGGGCTATCTGCACTAGTTGTCCCTAATTGAGCAATGTAAGGCTAGAGGGAAGGCAGCTTGTCATCACCACCCACCACCAACACTTGGGCTACTCTTTTACCAACAAATAGTGGGATTGACTATCATATTATAAAGCCCCCACGGCTGATAGGGCGAGCACATTTGGTGGGACGGGGATTTGAACCCACAACCCACAGATTGTGAGTCAAGTGCCCTAACCACCTGGCCATGCCAGGCCTAATAGCTTGTATATTATGCTCCTTTTCACATTAGTTTTATAATGCGTGTGTTAAAATTTCACAAATAAAAAGTGTCTCAAGTTACCTCTGGATTGTGAAAATTGTTCCAGCTTGTCTTAAGGCACTGCTGTCTCAAGCGTCACCATAACTAGGGTAATTTGAGACAGTAAATTAAAAAAAAAAAATTTTTCTATATAGACAGCTAGTGACACGTTTAGAAAGTCTCAAACAACCTCACATTAGAGTATATATATAAAATGTACAGAAATTCCAAAGGAAATGTAAATTATATATCTTGGGTAATAAAAATTAAATCTCTACAATTACAGGTCCAATTTTCAACTACCAATTTCTATATATTTTTCTTTAGAAACTGTTGTTCTTGCTTCTAAAGCTTCATATTTCATCATCAGATTTCAAATGTAATTTACAACAGTTAAAAAAACTGCTTCAACTATATATTTAAACACAACTTGAGACTATCTAATTATTGAATCTCCAGGGATGTACGTTATCATTTATATACAAAGCATCTTTCTACGTTTGCACTAACTTACATAGAATAAGTAATGTCAGTATCTTATGTAACAGCTGCAATCCTTAGTTTTATTAGCAATATTTCTGTGATCAAATTTATACTTGCTAATTCAGCTGGTAATTTAGGTGTCAGAGTAGTAGCATGAGCAACCCAACTTTTTACAAGTGAGCACAAAATAGTGTAGTAACTCCAAATCTGTATGATCAGGCAAACAGTATTTTCATTTGTAGCTATCCCCCAGTAGGTTGGTGGTAAGTTCGTGGCTCTACAGTGCTAAAATCCTGGGTTTGATTTTCCATGATGGACAAAGCATGGATAACCTATTGTACAGCTTTGTGCTAAAAAAAAACATTTCTCACTCTATGTTATCTACAAAGTTTTAATATTATTGGAAGTAATTTAGACTTTTGCAAATTGAAATTTAATGTTGCACTAGAAAAAAAAAAATTAAATTGTTGAACTTTCTACTGAGGAAGTAAGGTTAAACAGCTATTTTAAGAACTACTGTTAAAATCCTTAGAGATTTATTTTGTCAGACCGTAATGTAGCATAATAAAACAGGTCAAGTTTGAACTAGTCTGTTCAAAATTTATGAGAACAGCCAAAAACATACATTGGTATTAATATATTAACATCTATGAATACTTGAAAAAATGAAACGTGGTCCAAACTTTAAAAACAAATGTACCCTGAAGCATCTGATAGACTTTTTTTTTTCAGTGAATATTATGAAATATTTACTAAAATTACCACAAGAAACGGGTTCAGTTTCAAATCAGTTACTGTTACTACTACTTGCACATTTTATAAATTAGTGATCTAATTGATCCTGACATTTGCTGAACTCCTAACTAATATTGGAAACAAACATAGGTCAAAGTCACATCTTACATCTACTTCTAGTGAGAAACTAACCTTGACTTAAAGTGTAATAGGTAACAAATCCAAGTAGTTTACAGTTTAATGGAGTTAGTTAAAAGGGTTTGAAGACAATTTGATGCAATGATTAGACATTTCAACTCTTTTTAATGGTAATACAGAGCTTTCTGATCAACTGGTTTTTATTCACTATCTGTTGAAACAACTAGTAAAGTTGTACAAGAACTGAAGTAGCTAAACTCAGTTAAGTCTACAAGAAAATCTCTTACGATGAGCAACACCAGAACAGAATATGTAACTATTACACACAGAGAGCATGTCTAAAAAATTCTGAACCAATTATGTCATTGTGAAAATTGTACTGTTAGTTAGAACAAGGTCTGACTTTGGGGAGGGGGGGGGGGTGATGTAACGATTGTTGTTAAAATTAAGGACAAAAACACTTCATATGTATTAATGTACATTAGATTTAAATGGATAACTTTATAATGCATTTTTCAAAGTTCTATAGTGTCCAAGTTCTTTATAAATACAATGTCTCATTACATTAAACACCAAAAAACGAAACAGCATTTACAAGTTTCTTAACAGTTCTTAATATAGCATCATATTACTTTTCTCCTGAAGAATAGCTTATGCTGCACACTCATACACACACACTCCTGTATGGTAGATGTTAAAGATTTCATGCAGAAGACTGTCTGTAATTCTTGGTATCTAAAAGTTTTTTTCCACACATAGCACATATTCCTGTAAATATAATGATACACATTTTATTATATCTCATGAATAACATCCAGAATATTTGCAATGCACCTCTGTCTCCTATAATAATAATAATACCCAAATCCAATACACATTTTATTATATCTCACGAATAACATCCAGAATATTTGCAATGCACCTCTGTCTCCTATAATAATAATACCCAAATCCAATACACATTTTATTATATCTCATGAATAACATCCAGAATATCTGCAATGCACCTCTGTCTCCTATAATTATACCCAAATCCAATATGGATGTAAAGTTTGTACTGATAAACTTAAAAGCTTTGGCATTAAGCATATCACATTTAAATCCACCTTTGTTGTGGATTAGTTCTCCAACTAATATAACCAATATGTTCAAAGGAAACAAGTCCAAATAAAACTTACAGTTACAAGTTTTATTGTAGCTTTTTCATATATCAAATTTTATAACAAACTGCCAGAATAATTTGCCATAAATTCAATTAATCTGCAGTATAAACATTTATTATTGCTATCCCACAACATGTACATTTAAAAACAAAAACTTCTTGTATGTAATACTTGAGTATTGATTTATATTTATAATAAATTATTATGTTTAGGTATTTTCTTGCATGTTTATACAGCAAGGGCCCTTTGTTGGTTTTGCACATTACTTTCTTTTGATTTGCATTTGAATTCTCATAGTGGAAACAAACCCTTTTGCTCCAGTGACAGGACACAGTTTTGTGATAGGTGAATACAGTTATACTAATTATAAACAAACCAAGCTCTTTGGAGGCATAATTTAAAAATATTTATCATATACCACTTTTATGAGACAAAAACACTAAAATTACAGAAATAGAAAAGAAATTACTATTTTTCCATAAACATGTCAATAGTTAGCACTTTGTACAGTTAACATTTTTCTTTTATTAATAAGTGCTTTTCAAGAATTTAAAATGCAATTCAGTATATAGAAACTGCTAATGAAAAATATTTAATTTGAATATGCACAAACAAGTCTATCATTTGAACAAAAGGTAAACAGAACTATATTTTGCAATCAAAGATACTTTGGTGAAGTTTATGACTATGCTGTACTTAGAGCAACTAGCAAAAAAATTTTTAACTTGCTAGAGTTTTCATTTTTGATCTTCTTGATACTTGCTAAATAGGTTCAACTGGAACAACTGAAATTAAATATTAACTACTTCCACATGAGGTCAATAACCACAAAGTAATCATCAGAGCTTCCATACTATAACTTTTAATATTTTATGTACATCTTCAAAAAATTTGGCAAGCCTTCAGTAAACATTACAAGTCTTTTGTACACAAAAAAATTACACTGTTGAATTAAGTATTTTTTACTAAAATTTCTAACACCTTCCCTAATTTTAGCTACTTTTAAAATAAATTAATAAAAAATACACATGAAAAACAAGGAATATAATATTTACCTGGGTCCTCTGTTTTTTTTAATGTCAACTGTCTTTTTTTATATACTAGTACTACATTAAATAATTGTTATTTAATTAAATAATACACCTAAGGATACAAAATAATAACATTCACAAAGCACACAATGACCTATAACTAGTATAATTTGTCTGGCTTTCTAACTATTCGATAAGTCTTTTTAAAAATTCAGGTAAGCTTGTTGAAGTGAATACCATGAGAAAAAGTCTCAAACTAGAGGTAAAATAAACAATTCTCTGTACAGAAAACAATGAAATATATGATTGTACAAATTAAAACTTTGGCTTTCTAGTGGTTATAAATAATTTAAGATATTAAAGAGAACTACTAGCAATTAGTGAAAGAGAGGATGTGACAGGTGGGTCTATAAAAAATGAGCTTGAAGGATGTAAAAGTTATGCTTTGCCTGAGTAATATCTATATTATAATGTGTAATTTATGTTCAAAGTCAAGTACTTCTTAGAGGGATAGTAATTATATTAGAGAAGAGTGAAGACTTAGAGAGCAATGTCACGATTCTTATACTAAGGGAGGTTGAGAGTTTTTTTATATATATTTCCTTATAAGATTACGAATTTGGTTCTTATATAATATTAAAAGTTGATTTATTAACTACATTTTGATGCCAAGTGTTTTGTATATAATGATAATAAAGTAGTTTAATTACATTTTGGAATGTAACTCTTTAAAAACTTGTAACATGTGCACTTTAACCTGCCTGTAATCAGAGGATTAACTATTGTAACACCAAGCATTATTATTATTTCTTATTCCAATAATACATTGAGAAGTTTAAACTAATTGATTTTCCAACTTTTAACAAAACAATATGGTATCTGAAATTTAGAAAAAAGAGACACATACCTTTTTTGTAAGCACATGCTAAAAAAAAAGAAAAAGAATTAGTGTCCTTTATATATGTTGCAAAATGATATAAGTAAGTTTAGTTTCCATCAATCATCATAACCATATAAATACATTCTGTAGTAGTAAAAAAAAATTGAATTATAATATTCTCTAACACATAACACTTGTAACTGGAAAATTATTATTTACAGGTACAGTTATAGTCACGAGATATGAACACAAATTAGTTGCCTTTGATGTATTCATATATGCTACAGTACATTTAATGATTAAAATCAATTTATTCAATAATCAATTAACAATTATAACATAAATGAAGTAAGAGGTTATTTCTAGGTTCATCTACACCTCTGTGGTTAAAGGAAGTAACATATGCTAGTAAACTGCATATGAATCTTCATGGGAAACAACAAATATAAAAAAACATTTTGAAAATTTTTTCAAATGTAACATCTTCCAAAACCCTATGCCCCACTTTTGGAACCCTGATACAATATTTACAAAAAAAAATTAAATTATGCATATCAATAGCATGGATACAAAACTTTAAGTTGTTTTATCAAAAATGCAGGAAGAGTTAAACAAAAAATTGACTAATCATAAGTACAAATGCATATTGCTGTATAAATAGCCAAGTATGTACATGTGTATTTAGAGCAACATCAACATAAATCTTATGGAGTATATATCAACAAACAGAAGGTATGCATCACTTGAACTATCTTGATATCTTTATTGTTTCTCAGTAGCCATTACAACCAATCCATTTCTAAGTAAATCTACAATTCACTTTAAATGCAAAACAGAAAACTTGTACAAGGTATGGATAGATAAAAGGCAATCAACTACTAAGAAACTGTTACATGCAAGTTTTTGTTTCATTGTTTTTTTGCAAAATATTAATAAACTAGCTAGAATTATTAAAAGTGTCTCAAGTTGCAACTTTAAAAAAAAGTTATGTCAAAGAAAAATAACTTGTAACTTTACTGTTTTTGAAAAATGCTTATGTAGACATGCAATCATTCCATAATCCTAACAGATAAATAAATTGTTAATTAGTAATCATAGGTATAACAATAGACTTGACAATGGCTGAAAAGATCCTCTGGTTTCATGAATAAATATAATTTCACCTATTACTATCAAAATTATATTAGTTCTTCTGATAATGTTCTTAAGCTTAAATACTTCTACTACATGAATTTCATCTGCCTATAAATAAAAGTAATATTACCTAGTGGCATCATTCCCATAAACTCCCCAAATGTTTTCCACATACCGTTTTAATAATCCCAAATCCATCTAAATACATTTGATTAAATATGTTCAAAATATTTGTATTGCAAACCAGTAAGTTAATCAAATTAACTGTGGAAACTTAATAAAATGAAAAGTTAAAGGCACCCCACCTATAATTATTTTTACGATTACTATTACTGACCCACCGTTGATAATAAAATGACTCTGTTTTCTGATTGTCCCTCCCACCAAAAAATTTAGCTGCATGATGACCCTGATATTATAATATTCTTACAATAAACAATAATTCTGACAGAAGTATTTACTATATAAATTTTCTGAAATTATTTATGCTCTATCTTTCTAGTAATATTACATATACTTCACATTCTTCAACACATTCCAATACATACTTCTTTTTCATATATGTTAAGTTTTTTTTTACCGATGGTAATTTGATTTCAAAATAAAATTTCCAGGTGTCTAGCCTGCTACGTTACTTTGTGAATCAATGCTACTAAAAATCTCAAACCCACTGTTGTTGAAGCATTTAATAATTATTCTTTAACCTCGTGTTAGTTCCAATTTGTAAAACAAATTTTGGTTTTCCAATTCACGATGAATGACCTAAAAACTAAATGAAAATGACACTGAATTGTTCTGTACTTACCTTGACAATAATGAGACCCTACTTGGTGCACCTTTTGTCTGCATATTCTACACTGGTCAAACTTTGAGTAGGGAGCAAACCTGTTAAAAATAGTTAACCAAGATTTACCAAACACATAGCATCTTTTTGCTTATTAAATGTGTGACAAGTATTAAAGTGTGTGACACAGTAAATTAGTACTGAAATTCTGAGGGAGATCTATAACACTTGTTGAGATGCTATGAACAAATTAGTAGAAAAAATCAAAAGGTATTTTATACTTTTTTTATTTTCTTCTATTAATTTAAATTCACCTTTTTTTTTCAAAGTAAAACATGCTCAGTTTTTTACTATTTGTACCTCACCTTCACTATGGTTCATTTCAATATCTGCAATGGGCCAAAACCCTTTTAAGAAATAACTATAAAAATGCACCTTTTCTCATGACTTTGCAATCTATACAATATAATGACATTACATATCTTGGATCCAACAAGGACTTTCTACAAACCTTAACCCATGATTTATTTTACTCGATTTTATACCAAAACCACGATAAATGTAGGAAGAATTGAGTTTTTTGTAGGAGATACTAATATAAAATATATTTCTCTTCAATAATCCAGTATTTAAATAAAGATTTATTTATTGCATCACCTGTGCAAATTCTCCAAATTATGTTGGAGGACAGATGAGAATCGGTAATCAGCTAGTTAATCTGAGAATGAACATTCAACACTCACTCAATTTTCAGAAAGTACATCAAGATTAAGGAAAGAGAAGTGTGAAAACAGAGGAAATACATCAAACAACAGATCTCTCATCAGCACTCATACATTAACCCCTACACAAACAAATGTATATCAATTAAAAATGGAGGGGAGCACAGAAGAACTATACATGACATAAACGATGCTTTCTCACTCCAAACAGAAGAGATACTGTATGGTGGAAATACAAGAAATCACACAGTAGCTTCCACAAATGTTAAAGTATACAAGGCACATGCTGATCAATGCAGCATAGCTGACCTCACTGTCAAGATGGTTCTAAGTTTAGAGTATTATGGTAAATTCAATGTGCCATGTTTCCTCTACTACTTAAAGCCCAAAACAAAAAAGTCACAGCCAGACCAAGAGTAGTGACAGACAAAAAGTTAAAAACAGTAAACTATTCTAATATTCCAGAATTTCTTTTACATTTCATCAACAATATGTGCAAGCTTCACAAAAATAAACTCAATGTGCACAGTCTGATGAAATAGTTATCTGACAATGAGGGAAGTATAGAAAGATCAATATATATATTATGCGAAAGGACTCTGATTGGACTATATCTGATACATTCAGAGACTGTAGAAAATTTTCAATATCATATTACAGGTTATCCACAAAGAAGTAATTTGCTCAACAGAATGTTAAAATTTGGTACTTTTACATAACACATGTAATGAGAAATAACCAAGATAAACGTATCAGTAATTCCACGAGTTTATCTAATAAAAAAAATCCCCAAGTAGCCTACAAGACAAAAAAAAAAAAACAAAACAAAACAAAAGGCAGTTTACCTGGCTTTCTTGGATGTAAGAGCTTTGTTTTCATTTACAACACGGCCTCCACTTTCTGTTTTAATACAAAAAAAAATTAATTATGCTAAATCTTACTAATATTGGTAATTATATTTTTTTTAGAAAAGCATTTTCCAATGTTCTTAAAATGAATAAGAAAAACCAACAACATATACTTCTTAAATAACATATGATGAAAGAGTACTTCCTCCCTTCCAGAACATTTACAAGGTTTTAGATTAAAGTTCTCTCTAACAGGGATATGTAGTTCTTCAAGGCATGTAGGGAACTCTGTTTTCTCTTAAACATTTTAACTATATTTCACTGTTTCAGTAAAAACATAAAAATGATTTGGAGTTAGAACGAAATACCTCAAAAAGAACCAAGACCCTTACCATTTATCATTGAGTTGAATAATGCTAATTTTCTAAGTACCATTTTTGTTTCTTTCAATTTGAAACCAGGACATAATACCAAAAGAGAAATTAAATCAATGATGCACATATATAAAGTGAAAGAAAATATAGAGAGTTTGCATTTTGAAGACATGTTTGTTTATACATTGGGAAAGAAGCCCCTATTTCAATGTATATGCAAGCCAAAAGTGTTCAGAAACATGTCAAAAGGTAGCAGAGTTGTTTAATGAATTTTTTATTATATGTCAAAATTAACAAAATATATTTGCCATAAATGCTAACAAAAAAATACAGCAATGCTATGTCCTGGTCCCAAAACTTGAAATAATTATCAAAACCATGAGAATTATATGGCAGGTATAAGAAATTCTCAAAAAAGTACTCAGAAAGCTTATTAAAAGTCACTCATGATGTATAAACTAACCCTGGTACTATGAAGCTATAGCATACACTAATGTTGGGTTTCTTTAAAAATACTTAAGCTTTTTAAATAAACAAGACTGTTACTGTGATTAAAAAACAACCTATTACTTATCCTTGGGGTATACGAGTGCTTCTTAGCCACTGGTCCTTAGACCAGTGACAGTCCAGCACAACCATCTTGCAGGTCTGTGGGATTTCAGGAAATCAAACAAACAAACAAACCAAAACTGATACTCTGTTAATTAATACATAAGTGATAATGTTTTTTCTTGTATTTATATTTTATTGATCCTTGACAGTTTAGGGAGGCAGCAAACCAGTCCTTGGTATAAAAAAAAGGTTGAAAAATGTTAGTTTAGAAGAAAATAAGAAATTTCATTATATTTCTATATGCTACTAGGCTAAAAATATTTCAATGCTTTGTGTGCACTGCAAAACCAAGTTTTGAATATGTGACTATAAAATTAATTTTTTTATCTGTTTTCACTTAAACATTTTATGTAAATTTCACTGTTTTGGTCCATGATACACTTGTATATATACTAAAACAATTTAAACTGAAAAAAAGAACCAAAAACAAAATGAGTTGAATATATATAACAAAATATATAAGTACAAAAACAATAAACATGCATCATACTTAAGTTCACTTAATTATATGTAATAAACAAAACCTAACCTGTGGTATTTCTGGCCCCATCTTTCCAAGTATCTGGAGTAATTACTTTCCCCAACTTCTTCTGACCTATATGATAAAGAATATTTAATTTTAAAACCAATAAATAGAAGCTTTATAACTGAGCTACAAAATCTATTACTACCACAATTTAAATAATTTGGAATAAATGAATCTTAGGGAATTAGTAATTTCTGATAGAATCACAGAAAACTGTTTTGAACTGGACAACACTAAAAATACAACTGAATTCTTTTCAAAGTGACAGATGACTTTACTGTTAAGTAAAAACTTGCTGATGGCCTATTAATAATTAATTTGTTACAACTCAGTTGTTGTCATCAGCTGAATTAAATTTAATAAATGTTATTTATCTATGAATAATCACAATATGATTATGCCTGGTCTTGTTCACCAATCTTTTAACTTCTCCTTTAGTTTCTTCTGGTATAATCATATTTTTCAGATATATTTGTTTATCTAATTATATGTATTTGGGAATCCTAATCAATATATACCAAGAATGTGTTACTTCAATGAAAAATTATTGCAAAAGGGTTTTGTTCTGTTATCTACTTAAACCAAGACCTACATCTAATAGATTAACTGAATAAAAGATTAACACCTGCCACATAAGCCAACCCAGCATCTTGATGTAGATGCAAAAAAGTCAGACAAGGTTTGTTGTTTTAGACAAAAAAAAAAAATGTTTGGCACTATATTCAAGGTCTAGGTTGCTGGATCAGACCCACGACCATAAGAATGAACATGGAGAAGCTAACTAGTAAATGTAAAGTAAAATGATGTAGCAATGACACATGCTTGAAATGTTCTAGATGCAGTTGTGAATATGATGGTTTATGTGTAGCAATTAGGTTAAATCGTGCGTCAGATGAGGAAAGAACATATTTGAAGATATCCTATTCGATTTGACATTCCAGCTAAATCGAAGAATTGTCAATTCATTACTGCATTGAAAATGAAACATAAAAAAAATGGGAACAATATTATCACTATCTTCAAAAAGAGGGATTGGAATCATATATAATAAATAATTAGTTTCAATATTTTGTGAAACTAATGGCACAGTAAAGCCCAAAGATGCAGCATTGAAGTTGAAGCAGATGCATTACAAAATGATTTCCCTAGCAATTCTCAAATTCAAAATGCTTCTTCTGCAATATATGCAAATAGAAGAAGAATAGTATAATATAATCCATATAGGTTTCACCATGTCATATTTTCATGAATATTTATTATTTTTCATTTTAGAAGTTGTGCCAAGTGTCATTCATCAAGATCTATCAAAATAACCCTGAAGTTAACATTATCCAACATTGAAAATGTATTTCCAATAGATACTTACCTCTCTCACATAATAGCTTTCCCTGACTTGTGGTGCCCTCTATATGCACAATTTTTGCTTGCTACTAGCCTTGAGGCTACCACCTAACTTCACATTTGCACATGGAACAGCTGCACTGTAGCATGCAAATGAGCATACAACAACCCTCCACCAACAGGAGTACAACACACCCTCCTAGTGCAGCTGACTCCCTCTATACTGTAGATCACACTCACCACTTCGAGATTAGGCAGTCCAAAACCAGGCGGCATCTGGAATGTTTCTACTGGACTGCATTAGGTGGAGGGCACCTACCAACCACATGTGTGAGGATTTATGTTCCTGTACCAGTCCAACAACTGACCACCTGGGAATCAACATCCTGGTGACAGTAGGGTGGAAGAAAGTTAGTTGAAGGAGAAAATTGCATGTGGCAGATTCATTGAGTCCAAAACTAGGTGGCATTAGGTATTTTTCATCAGGTCTGTATTAGGAGAAGTGTACTTACCATCACCAATAGAACACCACTGCTATCCCCTTCTGCTTTACACCCATGTAGTCCATAGATGGTACAGTCCGGGACAAGCATATTTATAAAGCAATTTTATCGCAAGGATAACCTTCAAGTGATCTTGTGGAACACCCCCTCTCAACAGTGTACATTGCATGGCCATGGAATATACTAAGCTCATTGACATGGCTGAAGAGTGTGGATTTTAAAAGTTAAAGAATACCCTGAACATTTTAAAAAAGAATAAATATAACTTATCCAGTCTTATAGTTGCACGGAAGTCTAAAGAACGGCTACAGGTGGAAGACAATATCCTGAAGAGGAAGAAATGGCGACCCCATGCAAATAATGAGACAAATATATTAGGTGTAGTCCACATGCCCGACTGAGGAATTTCCTCTAATGGATGACGAAGATGAGATGCCAAAGAAAAGGTAAGGTGTTGAATTTGATGAGAAGACATCTGGAACAAAGTATGGGAGGACATTTAAAGATAGGAATAAGCCAATCAAATAAAAATCCAAACTCAACTGTTGAGGGAAAAAGGAGAAAGATCACAAACAGGAACAGGCACCACAGATGGAAGCCATGCGGGCAATATAACATTAAAAAGCACGTACAGCACATAGAAGTCTATCCAGATCAGACCAAGGATATAGGTGAGAAATGGAAAGAAGGGAACTAGTGAAAAGGTGGAATTACCCTCCCTATCCACCGAGGTTTTAGGGAGGAAAGAATTATCTGGATAAAGGAAAGGATATGTAGGAAGATAAAGAGTATGTGAAACATCAATGGCAAATAAATCAAACCACTGATGTCCATAGGCTAACAGAAGAATGAAATAAGTCTTAAGGGAAAGATGAAACAAGAAGCACGTGGAATGCGGTGCAAGCTGAAGCAAAGTGAGGCAATGGAGGAACACTTTATCATCCCAGTCCAGAAGGGCAGCTCACTGTGGAGGATGACAAATCTGGAAGGAACAGATCAACAGGGAGATTATAGGAGAGGTAAAAAGCTTACAGTAACAGGAAAATGAAAACTGGAAATCAGGGAGACAGGGAATCCCCAATCCAAATGCTAAGAAAGAAATTCTGCAATACAAGAAACAGTGGGTCGAACAACTGCAAACCCCTGGCTCAGATAGCAATGGTGGAAAATGTTCCATTTACACTGATAAACTTCCATGGAGGAATGGGCCAGAAACAAAGCTACATGTCAGGACACTCCCAATCTCCACACCAAAACCAGATAAAACCAAGCATGAAGACAGAGGACAGGAAGAGCAGGATGAAGCACCGATGACCACCAAGATTGCTGAAGAAGGGAAAGAGCCAGAGGAAGAGGTAGTGGAGAGGTAAGTTGGAGCTGGATAGGTTAAGGAAACACAACTGAGCCAACCAGTAAGAAGCAATCAGAAGGACCTGACACAGGAGTGGTATGGATGATCGAAATCACCCAGTGAAGGAGTCTAATGGGAGGATTAGCAAAAAGGTATTTGTTGATCCAATCCTGACTGAAAGCATTGAGAGCCAGGGCAAGAGGATGAGGGTCTGAAGACCAAAACAGAGGGAGCTTGTGGTTGAGGAAGTAGCAAATGCATCAATGTGAGGAGTACCCCCACTGAATGCAAAGCCATTGGAAGACCATAGGATCGAGAGACCATTCTGCCAGATAGATTCTGTCTGGACAGGAAAAACGATTTGTAACAAGATTGAAAGCACCTGGATCATGACACACAATGATATGGATATCCTGCATGTGGGCCCAGAAAAGAAGATCCAGGATGTGGTGATTGAGATAAGCAACCACTGTGGAATTGTTCGAATGAACATTACTAGATGATGTTTGGCCAGATGGAGGAAATTATCCAAGGCTCAACAGACATCGAGAAGCTCCAGTGTTGATATGACAAGACTTCTCGGCTGCAAACCAACACCCCGAAGCCTCCTGTATTTGACCCCCCCCCCCCATCCCTGGAAGAAAGAGTCTGTGAAAATATGTAAAGCTGAACGAGGAGGAGGAGGCGAGACCCCTGCTAATGTGTGGATCCTGTCCATCTTCAACCCAGTGAAAAACTTTCATATGAGCATGACCTAAGGGGATAAGTGTGGCCATGGAAGACCACATCCCCCAAAGCGACTGAACCTCATGAGCTGTAAGAGAGGGAGCAGTAAGAATGTGGTGAACTGAAAGCTCCATCAAACAAAGTCGAAGAGGAGAAGGTTGGGCCAAACTGAGATGGGTGTTGAAAAAAAACACCCAAATGGATCAGGTATTGGGTTGGTCAAAAGATAGACTTCTCCAATTTGATTAACCAGCCCACTCAAGCCACCTCCCAGAGCAGCAAAAGAGTATGACAGGCAGATTCCTGTTCAGAATGAGCTAACAGTAGCCAGTTGTCCAGGTGATATGAAAATGCAGCCAGAGAGTATGAAGATGACAAACAAAAACTGAAACCACCTGACAAAAAACATACGGGACTGTAGCAAACCCGAAGCATACAGCACGAAACTGATAAATCACCCCTCGATGGACAAACCAAAGATATGGTCGCAACTGCCAAGATATCAGTATGTGTAAGTAAGCATTCATGATGTCCATCTTGGTCATCCATAAACCTGGAGGAAAAGCCCAACTGAGGGTGAGAAATGATTCCATGGTAAAAAGAGGGAGATTGAGATATTTATTGTGGTGGGACAAATTATGACAGACCACCAGTCTCCGGTTTTCTTGAGGACAACAAACAGCCTGGAATAAAAACTGGGAGAAAGATGATTCAAGGTTTGATGGCCAATTGAGACAGAAGGTCTTGAACCACCTCTGAAGACCCTGGCAGAGGGAAGGAAATGGGTATCTGTGACAAAGGAGGAGGGGAAAGGAATTGTAAGATAAGTCCATCTGAGAGAACCTGAATAAACCACTGATCTGTGATGAAATATCGCTAAAGGGAAACAAAATCACACAATCAAGCTCCCACTGGGTAGTCACCAGTACTGTTGGCATCTTGACAATCTACGTCAAAGAAAACAAAAAGATATGGAATCCCTGGAAGAAGCAACAGGTAAGGGCTGAGAAGAACTAGGACGGGAAACAGGAATAGGGGCTTGTCGTGATTCCAACTGCAACAAGCGAGCTACCAAAAAAAGGGTAGTGTGTTGATGCAAGGATTCCACTGATGATTCCAAAGTGACCAGCATATGGTAAAAAACATAA